ATACTCCAGAGGACAGGAGCAGGATTCAAAACGATCTTGACAGATTAGAGAGATGGGCCAAAACTAACAAAATGAAGTTCAACAGTGACAAATGCAAGATACTCCACTTTGGCAGGAAAAATGAAATGCAAAGATACAGAATGGGGGATGCCTGGCTCGAGAGCAGTACGTGTGAAAAAGATCTTGGAGTCCTCGTGGACAACAAGTTAAACATGAGCCAACAATGTGATGTGGCGTCAAAAAAAGCCAATGGGATTTTGGCCTGCATCAATAGGAGCATAGTGTCTAGATCTAAGGAAGTAATGCTACCCCTCTATTCTGCTTTGGTTAGACCACACCAGGAATATTGTGTCCAATTCTGGGCACCACAATTGAAGAGAGATATTGACAAGCTGGAATGTGTCCAGAGGAGGGCGACTAAAATGATCAAGGGTCTGGAGAACAAGCCCTATGAGGAGCGGCTTAAGGAGCTGGGCATGTTTAGCCTGAAGAAGAGAAGGCTGAGAGGAGATATGATCCATGTATAAATATGTGAGAGGAAGCCACAGGGAGTAGGGAGCAAGCTTGTTTTCTGCTTCCTTGGAGACTAAGTATATAAACATGGCTTCAAACTACAAGAAAGGAGATTCCATCTGAACATTAGGAAGAACTTCCTGACTGTGAGATGTTCAGCAGTGGAACTCTCTGCCCCAGAGTGTGGTGGAGGCTCCTTCTTTGGAAGCTTTTAACAGAGGCTGGATGGCCATCTGTCAGGGGTGATTTGAATGCAATATTCCTGCTTCTTGGCAGGGGGTTGGACTGGATGGCCCATGAGGTCTCTTCCAACTCTTTGATTCTATGATTCTATGAATGATTGAATAATCTCATCTCATCTTTGGCTGCAGAACCTGGGGCTGATGGGAACTACAGTTCAAACCATTTACCTCTGAGGATGCCTGCCATGGATGTGAATGAAACGTCAGGAGAAAACACTTTTGGAACATGGCCATGCACCCAGAAAACTCACAGCAACCCAGCATCATAAAACCTCTGAAGGAGCCAGTTATCTTCCATTGAAAGCAAGTGTATGGCTGGGGATTGCATTTGATCCATAGGACAGCACCTGGAGGTGTCGCAAAGGAGGTGTCAGACGGGTCGCTCAGAATGCTCTTTGATTGTAGGTGAACTATAAATCCCAGCAGCAACAACTCCCAAATGTCAAGGTCTATTTTCCCCAAACTCCACACGTGTTCACATTTGGGCATATGGAGTATTCATGCTAAGTTTGGTCCAGATGCATAATTGCTTGAGTCCACAGTGCCCTCTGGATATAGGTGAACTACAACTCCCAAACTCAAGGTCAATGCCCACCAAACTCTTCCAGTAAAATAATAATAATGAAGTAGCCTCGGGGACCCTTCCAAACAGGTCCTATATCCCAAGATCTGATAACCTGGGATCAGATCCTGGGATATAAGGACAGTGTAGAAGGGGTCTAGGGGCCCTTCCAGACAGGCCCTATATGCCAAGATCCGATCCCAGGTTTTCTGTTTATCCTAGATTATCTGGCAGTGCAGACTCATTTAATCCAGTTCAAAACAGATAATCTGGGATCAGATCCTGGGATATAGGGCCCATCTGGAAGGGCCCCAGGATGAACCTAGCACTGGATTTTCTTGGCAAGATGTTTTCAGAAGGAGTCTGCCTTTGCCTTCTTTGAGGTTGAGAAAGTGTCTCAAGGTCATCCAGTGGTACTCCATTGCCATTTATTAGAATCCAAGTCTCCAGACTTGTTTTGACTGCAGGAGCAAAAAAAACAAAACAAAAAAGCCCTTCCAGTATTTTCTGTTGGTCATGGGAGTTCTGTGTGCCAAGTTTGGTTCAATTCAATCATTGGTGGAGTTCAGGGTGCTCTGATTTTAGGTGAACTATAAATACAAGCACTACAACTCCCAAATGCCAAAGTGTATTTTCCCAAAGCTCCACCAGTGTTCACATTGGGGCATATTGAGTATTCTTGCCAAGTTTGGTCCGGACCCATCACTGTTTGAATCCACAGTACTTTCTGGATGTAGGTGAACTACAACTCCAAAACCCAAGGTTAATACCCACCAAACTCTTTCAGTATTTTCTGTTGGTCATGGGAGTTCTGTGTGCCAACTTTGGTTCAATTTCATCATTGGTAGAATTCAGAATGCTCTGATTGTTGGTGAATTATCAATCCAAGCACTACAAATCCCAAACGTCAAGGTCTATTTTCCCCGAACTCCACCAGTGTTCAAAGTTGGGCATATTGAGTATTTGTGCCAAGTTTGGTCCAGATCCATAGTGGTTTGGGTTCACGGTGCTCTCTGGGATGTAGGTGAACTACATCTCCCCTAAATCCCTGTGAATTTCTCCCAAACCCCTCCAGTGTTTTCTGTTTGTCATGGCCAATCTGTGGGCCAAGTTTCGTGGGGGTCTTACATTACAATTCATAACCATATTTATTTATTTATTTATTTGGGGCATTTATATCCCGTCCTTCTCATCCTGGTGGGAGGGGGGGAGGGGAGTCAGGGAGGTAACCATTAGATGCCAACAACAATAATAAAAAAGTCAGATAAACATTAACTAAAACATCGTCATAAGTTAAAAGACCATTTAAAAGAGACAGTAGCAAAATGACAGTTATGAATTAGCAACAAAAATAATTTTATGGTTGGGGGTTACCACGACATGAGGAACTGTATTTAGGGGTCGTGGCATTAGTAAGGTTGAGAACCACTGCTTTATGCCTATTCAACTCTTTGGATATTTGATGGTTTATCCCCAGTATGAATTGCTTGATGTCGAGTAAAGTGTACCTTCTGAATAAAACCTTTTCCACACTCCGTACATTTGAATGGTTTCTCCCCAGTGCGACTTGCTTGATGATAGGTGAGGTGTGCCTTCTGAATAAAGCCTTTTCCACAGTCTGGACATTTGAATGGTTTCTCCCCAGTGTGAATGACTTGATGATGGGTGAGGGATTTCTTCCAAGTTGAAACTATTTCCACACTCAAACCATTTGAATGGTTTCTCCCCAGTGTGACTTGCTTGATGCATAATGAGGTCTGCCTTCTGAATAAAACCTATTCCACACTCTGGGTATTTGATGGTTTCTCCCCAGTGTGAGTTGCTCGATGCAGAATGAGGTCTGCCTTCTGAATAAAACCTATTCCACACTCTGGGTATTTGATGGTTTCTCCCCAGTGTGAGTTGCTCGATGCAGAATGAGGTCTGCCTTCTGAATAAAACCTATTCCACACTCTGGGTATTTGATGGTTTCTCCCCAGTGTGAGTTGCTCGATGCAGAATGAGGTCTGCCTTCTGAATAAAACCTATTCCACACTCTGGGTATTTGATGGTTTCTCCCCAGTGTGAGTTGCTCGATGCAGAATGAGGTCTGCCTTCTGAATAAAACCTATTCCACACTCTGGGTATTTGATGGTTTCTCCCCAGTGTGAGTTGCTCGATGCAGAATGAGGTCTGCCTTCTGAATAAAACCTATTCCACACTCTGGGTATTTGATGGTTTCTCCCCAGTGTGAGTTGCTCGATGCAGAATGAGGTCTGCCTTCTGAATAAAACCTATTCCACACTCTGGGTATTTGATGGTTTCTCCCCGGTGTGAGTTGCTCGATGCAGAATGAGGTCTGCCTTCTGAATAAAACCTATTCCACACTCTGGGTATTTGATGGTTTCTCCCCAGTGTGAGTTGCTCGATGCAGAATGAGGTCTGCCTTCTGAATAAAACCTATTCCACACTCTGGGTATTTGATGGTTTCTCCCCAGTGTGAGTTGCTCGATGCAGAATGAGGTCTGCCTTCTGAATAAAACCTATTCCACACTCTGGGTATTTGATGGTTTCTCCCCAGTGTGAGTTGCTCGATGCAGAATGAGGTCTGCCTTCTGAATAAAACCTACTCCACACTCTGGGTATTTGATGATTTCTCCCCAGTGTGAGTTGCTTGATGCAGCATGAGGTCTGCCTTCTGAATAAAACCTATTCCACACTCTGGGTATTTGATGGTTTCTCCCCAGTGTGAGTTGCTCGATGCAGCATGAGGTCTGCCTTCTGAATAAAACCTATTCCACACTCTGGGTATTTGATGGTTTCTCCCCAGTGTGAGTTGCTCGATGCAGAATGAGGTCTGCCTTCTGAATAAAACCTATTCCACACTCTGGGTATTTGATGGTTTCTCCCCAGTGTGAGTTGCTCGATGCAGAATGAGGTCTGCCTTCTGAATAAAACCTATTCCACACTCTGGGTATTTGATGGTTTCTCCCCAGTGTGAGTTGCTCGATGCAGAATGAGGTCTGCCTTCTGAATAAAACCTACTCCACACTCTGGGTATTTGATGATTTCTCCCCAGTGTGAGTTGCTTGATGCAGCATGAGGTCTGCCTTCTGAATAAAACCTATTCCACACTCTGGGTATTTGATGGTTTCTCCCCAGTGTGAGTTGCTCGATGCAGCATGAGGTCTGCCTTCTGAATAAAACCTATTCCACACTCTGGGTATTTGATGGTTTCTCCCCAGTGTGAGTTGCTCGATGCAGAATGAGGTCTGCCTTCTGAATAAAACCTATTCCACACTCTGGGTATTTGATGGTTTCTCCCCAGTGTGAGTTGCTCGATGCAGAATGAGGTCTGCCTTCTGAATAAAACCTACTCCACACTCTGGGTATTTGATGGTTTCTCCCCAGTGTGAGTTGCTCGATGCAGAATGAGGTCTGCCTTCTGAATAAAACCTATTCCACACTCTGGGTATTTGATGGTTTCTCCCCAGTGTGAGTTGCTCGATGCAGAATGAGGTCTGCCTTCTGAATAAAACCTACTCCACACTCTGGGTATTTGATGGTTTCTCCCAGTGTGAGTTGCTCGATGCAGAATGAGGTCTGCCTTCTGAATAAAACCTATTCCACACTCTGGGTATTTGATGGTTTCTCCCCAGTGTGAGTTGCTCGATGCAGAATGAGGTCTGCCTTCTGAATAAAACCTACTCCACACTCTGGGTATTTGATGGTTTCTCCCCAGTGTGAGTTGCTTGATGCCGAGTGAGGTTTACCTTCTGAATAAAGCCTTTCCCACACTCTGGGCATTGGAATGGTTTCTCCCCAGTGTGAGTTGCTTGATGCCGAGTGAGGTCTGCCTTCAGAATAAAACCTTTTCCACACTCCAAGCATTTGAATGGTTTCTCCCCAGTGTGAGTTGCTTGATGCCGAGTGAGGATTGCCTTCTGAATAAAGCCTTTTCCACACTCCAGGCATTTAAATGGTTTCTCCACCGTGTGAATTGCTTGATGCTGAGTGAGGTGTGACTTCTGAACAAAGCCTTTTCCACACTCTGGGCATTTGAATGGTTTCTTCCCCGTGTGAATTGCTTGATGCCGAGTGAGGTCTGTCTTCAGAATAAAGCCTTTTCCACACTCTGGGCATTTGAATGGTTTCTCCCCCATGTGAATTGCTTGATGCCGAGTGAGGTCTGCCTTCTGAATAAAACCTATTCCACACTCCAAGCATTTGAATGGTTTCTCCCTAGTGTGAATTGCTTGATGCCGAGTGAGGTCTGCCTTCTGAATAAAGCCTTTTCCACACTCCAGGCATTTGAATGGATTGTCCTCAGTGTGAATGGCTTGATGCCGAGTGAGGTTTCCCTTCTGAATAAAGCTTTTTCCACACTCTGGGCATTTGAATGGTTTCTCCCCAGTGTGAATGGCTCGATGCTGAGTGAGGACTGACTTCCGAAAAAAGCTTTTTCCACACTCTGGGCATTTGAATGGTTTCTCCCCAGTGTGAGTTGCTTGATGCCGAGTGAGGTCTGCCTTCTGAATAAAGCCTTTTCCACACTCTGGGCATTTGAATGGTTTCTCCCCAGTGTGAGTTGCTTGATGCCGAGTGAGGTTTACCTTCTGAATAAAACCTTTTCCACACTCTGGGCATTTGAATGGTTTCTCCCCAGTGTGAGTTGCTTGATGCTGAGTGAGGTTTGCTTTCTGAATAAAACCTTTTCCACATTCTGGGGATTTGAATGGTTTCTCCCCAGTGCGAGTTGCTTGATGCTGAGTGAGGTTTCCCTTCTGAATAAAGCCTTTTCCACACTCTGGGCATTTGAATGGTTTCTCCCCCATGTGAATTGCTTGATGCCGAGTGAGGTCTGCCTTCTGAATAAAGCCTTTTCCACACTCCAGGCATTTGAATGGATTGTCCTCAGTGTGAGTTGCTTGATGCCGAGTGAGGTGTGACTTCCAAATAAACTCTTTTCTACACTTCAGGCATTTGAATAGTTTCCTCCCGGCGTGAGTTGTTTGATGACAAAGAAGGAAACTCTTCAAAATGAAACCCTTTCGGCATATCCAACAATGAAATGGTTTCTTCCTTGTGTGATCTGATTGGTAACGGGAGAGGAAGGCCTTTTGACTGAATCTTTTTTTCCCCTCCAAACACTTGGATGACGAGGAATTGTTTCCACAAGTGCTTCCTGGAAAGAGACATCAGAAGTCAACAAGATTAGAAGAAAAGAATTCCGACTGCTTTAATATCAATATAATATATAATATAATACAAAGAATTCTGGTTTTATGTGAGCTGACTAAGCACAAGACAGGGGGAGCCTTACCCAGAGAGGACAGGCGTTCCAAATTCTCCTCCATCACCTTCTGATGAAGGGCTCTTTGGCCTGGGTCCAACAGAGCCCACTCTTCTTCTGTGAAATCCACAGCCACCTCCTCAAAAGTCACCTGGAGAACAACAAAAATATTGTTTCAGACTGCTCTAAAACTTGAAATTCTTATTGGATGATATCTACAGGCTCTTTGAAGTAACACGTTGGATGCAAGCAAAGGGAAAGAACAAGATTTTGTGAGAACCACAGGGTGGTTAAATCGACAGCAGAACACCGCCTGCGCCTTTCTTGGCTTGCTGGAGGGCCTGCCCCCTACCTGATGTACTTCTGCAGATGCTATTCTGAGTTCCTCTTGAGGAAAAGATGCTCTTCTACTTCTACTTACAGACCCAGTCCTTGTTCCCTCTCCTGGAAGGAAAGGAAAGAGAAGGGAAAGAGAACATTATTACCCACTCTCTCCTTTCTCCTTCAAATTCCTTCTACACATTCCAATGTAACAAACACCATAATGTATACACAGAAAGAATTGGGAAGTCTTGGAAGACCGCAGTCCTGCAGTTGTGAGGTGCACATCATCCTTCTCCTTTATAATCAGGCACAAGTTAATCAGGCAAATCTGCTCCTGAGCATGGCTTCTTAACGGAAAAATGGTAGCTGAGGCAGGAATAACATTGAAAAAAGGAGGATAAGCTCCTCCTTCACCAAAAAGAAGAGCACTTCAGCAAGCTTTTTATTCAAAATCAGCAAAATGCACACATTAAATGCAAGAATGACGTCAAGGTCAGCCTTGGGTTAGTGAAAAGACCCCAACAAAATTTAAAACCTACAGGCAACAAGAAGCCTTCTTCCAAAATGACCCTGTGTCAACCTATCCTTTCATAACCCTCCATTTTCTTATGATTTCCATTTTTAGTGGTCAACATTTTAAATCTCTACATTTTTCTCGTCTGCAATGGGAGCTGATGAGATTCCTACTTTCTCTTAGTTTTGCTGGTCATACATGCTCAGAAGCGGGCGCTAGTGGCAGCTGAATTTACATTGCCTTGTTGTAGGCAGGCACACCACTTGGAGTGCCTCTGGTGTTGCCATAAGAAGGTCCTCCATTGTGCATGTGGCAGGCCTCAGGTTGCATTGCAGCAGGTGGTCTGTAGTTTTCTCTACTCCACACTCGCATGTTGTAGATTCCACTTTGTGGCCCCATTTCTTAAGATTGGCTCTGCATCTCGTGGTGCCAGAGCGCAGTCTGTTCAGCGCCTTCCAAGTCGCCCAGTTTTCTGTGTGCCCAGGGGGGAGTCTCTCATCTGGTATCAGCCACTGGTTGAGAGTCTGGGTTTGAGCCTGCCACTTTTGGACTCTCGCTTGCTGAGGTGTTCCAGCGAGTGTCTCTGTAGATCTTAGAAAATTATTTCTTGATTTAAGTCGTTGACGTGCTGGCTGATATCCAAACAGAGGATGGGCCGGAGATGTCACTGCCTTGGTCCTTTCACTATTGGCTGCTACTTCCCGGCGGATGTCAGGTGGTGCAATTCCAGCTAAAAGTGCAAGGGCAGATGCTTCACTGTGTCTGTTGTGATCCCCAGGTTGTGCCAGTCAGTTTTCGTATGATATT